GGTTATGAAGTTGACTTCTTTTTTTATTTTAGGGTCTACGATAGGAGAAATTTTGTGAAAAAGGAGGCATTGGATGCCTTTCTTTTTTTTTTTTAGCATAAAAAATTCCATTTTACAATTATTTTAAAAAAGATTGCCTACACTTTACGATGCATTTAGCCATTATATTCCTTTACGCTACTTTCTTTTTTCATAAACAACCATCTCTCATGACCCATTTCCTTCTCTTTTCATTAATTTATCAAAATTAAATTGGAAATTAAAGATATTTTCTCCTTTTTTTAAGTGCTTGAAGGGGGGGCGTTAAAGATGTTTTTCTCTTACTAGCTAAGTTGGTTCTTGTTCCAAAACCAGTCCTTTTCGTTTCACATAATTAGTAGCATGATCCATTGTTAGGTAGCTACAATTCCCCAGGATTATAATGGCATGATATCAAGATTTTCACTACTTATTTTTTGGTTCTATCTAAATAATGATTAAGGATGAATTGATTTGATAATGGATGAGGATTGGACGGTGCTATAATATAAACCTTCGAGAGTGGAAAAGGCAATCATACAATATGATTGTCTGATTCCAACATAGATGTGGGGAATGCATACATTGCCTTGGCGTGCACTCAAATGCAAGAATAAGCTCATCTCTCTCTCTCTCTTGCTATAGAAAAATAAGTTGAAAAGTTGCAATCCAAAGAAAAAAAATCAGCAGAAAAGTTCTTATTTCTTAATATTATTTCTTGATAGCTTAGTTTTTTTTTTTTCACATTATTGATTGGATAATAGTGATTGAAGACGGCATCATGCAGGAACCTGAAACTACAATAAATACTACTGCTATCCATCTTATTTATACACAATTTATAATATTTTTAATGGGAAAATTGGTACATATACACATACACGTAAAATGATTTTAATGTATAAAGCATGAAGTGTACATGAACATGAGAGTTAATTAAAACATTAGTACATAGCTATCTCATAATTATATTTAAATTTGAAAATTATGAACCTAAACGGCCTAAAATCAGGCAACCAAAGAGGCCAAGACTGTGAAATCATAAGGAAAAAGGAGAAGAGGAAACATCACTCGATCGGTCGTATTCCCTTTTGCAGTGACTCAAGATTGAATCAGGTCGAGATGGAGTCAGGAAATGGGGGCAGAACTTAATTAATAAGTATACGTTACCATTTCTTTCCCTTCGATTCCCTGGCTATTCCCCACCACATTAACTTTCTCTGTTAACTTTTTGATTTCTGCTGACATCTAGAATCCCACTGCCACCCTCAGGAGTCCTGACTCCATTGGCCATTGGGACCCCAACCCCCAAAACAAGGACTGGGATTGGGAACTTCACATCCTTCTCACTCAAACACTTTCACTCTTCAGTTTTGAAAGATTCAACATGCAAATTTAGAAGGAACATACAGTTGTATAGACCTCTTTTATTTTATAATATAACATAATGTGTAGGGTGTTATTTTATGAATAAATATGTATCACGGGACTGGATGGGATAACCTTAAACAGTTTACTTGTCTCTTGTCTTTTTTTGGGTTTTCATGCTGTGCTCTCTCTCTCTCTCTCTCTCTCTCTCTCTCTATTATGGAAAATAGAAAAATAAAATCATCACGGGAATAACTAAGCCCTTTCGCCTCATGTGTGAACCCAATCTTCAATGTTTAATTTAACACAAAAAAAAAAAAAACCTTCTTTGGTTACGGAACAGTGCTACTTGATCACATGAGATAGTAATTATAATATGTTTATCTATTTACAAAACTCAGGTAGAAAAAACTGATCAGCATCATAAATCTGTCAAGGTTTATTAATTAATGGGAAATTAATAATAAAAATGACATTTAAGCTTGGATTATATCTTGGAAGAAATCATTGAAAGATACCTTTCATCTATATATAAAGAGGGAAGAGGGGGTCAAATTTCTTTGTGCTAGTTTTGTTGAGCTTGAATAATGTGCTTATTATGTTAATAATCCCAAAAAAGGTAACATTAATAAATTAGTTATTACATTATTCTTGTTGATTATCATCTCTTTTCTTTTTTTTTTTTGGCAAAAATTGTTCAATTATTGCCTAATTCAATGGAGAAAACACAAATTCCACATGTTTTAAGTTTGATGTTGATCAGTATACATAGGTCGTGTGAATTGAAAGGATAGTTTTTGATTTAGTGAAGATGCATAATATTGAAAAATAGATAGCTAACTATTTGAATGTGGCTAAGACACTTAGACCACACGATAAAGACCTACCAAAAATGATGTTTCCCATTCATCTGTGGTAACTATCAGCTCAAATAATGAGTTTTATATAAATACTGAAAGCAAAATGTTATTTTCCAAAATATTCTTTTCTCTTCTATCATTTATCAAAAATTGCAAAACTTGACCATACTATATATACTGTCAAGATCATTCCATTAAGTTGATTTATGACTCACCGATTAATTCACACTGCTGAATCACGTTTTTCCCCCTTTCCCTAATACCTGAAAATTATATTAACTCACCAGTAATTTTCAGAAATGAATCTGCGTTTTCTTCCAAAAGTTACCCAACTTAAAAATATTGTAAAAGTCAATATTATAAGCACATCACATAATGAAAAACCTGATGATTTAGTCTTTTCCTATGTATCTCTTTCCTTTGGCCCTAAGTTTTAAACTGTCCATAAAATACACAAAGGAAACAAAATTACCATTTCACCACATTATAAATAAATAATAGGAGTAATAAAAAAAAGATATGCAACATTATTATATTGGACCCACCCGCTCTTAAAAATGCTTTGGTGACTTTTAACACCAAAAAAAAAAAAAAAAAGGTGCATCCAATAAATCCAGAAAGAAAAACAAAATAAAATGCATATCCATTCAATCCAATCCAATGAATATTGAAGTGAAGAGAGTTTCTCTGCATTTAATTCTGCTCCCAAATTACTGCAACCGATTAATGGGTGGTTTTCATGAATAATAAATATGTGAAGACTTATCAGAAAATGGAACTCTCACAGTTTTGCTATATGTGGATATTGGCAACAAAAACATAGGTTAGTGATACATAATTATTACTCCATTTAATTTATTTATCTTGCTTTTAGCACTGCATCACTTCATCAACTCAAATTTGTCAATCAAAGAGAGGACAGTTATTTGGAATATTATACAAAGCATCCCTGATATGATATGCCACCGACCTCTTTGGTTTTCTGGTTAGGCACAGCGGTTTCATGGGGTGGGGGGTGTTTGCTTTACAATCTCTCACGGTCATGGCCTGGGCACCGTTCATTTTAATGCCTCTAACTGAGCTGCAGCTGAGGTCCTGAGGATGGAAAATTTTTTTTTTTTTAAAATACTATATATACTGCTAAAATGATTGCTTGAATAATGTCAGAAGACTCTTCAATGAAAAAGTAAAACAAATAAATAAAAGTATAAGAAAAAAGAAAAATTAGTTGAACATTTTTAGGGGTGGATTAATTTCATTGGATCATTAATTTGTAAGTTACCAAAATGAGAAGAGAGAAAGATGGAGTCATTTGAGAGAGGAGTCAACATCTGAAAATTATTGATTGAGGTTTTGAAGATAGAAAATAGATGGCAGAGTCACATTTGAAAAATGATTGATTGAACATTTGAAGAAAGAAAAATGGTAATTGCAAGGCAAACAATTTCTAAGCTTTCTTTCAATTCTTTGCTCAAATCCACTTAAATTTCTTATCATTCTCTTCTTCTTATGAGGAAGCAAAAATGATTATTCTCATTATAATTGATAATGATATATATATTTATAATGTATGTGTGCCACATTCTGATACATGTATATATTTATGAGGTATTTTCACTATTTTAATCTTTCATTTTCTTAATACTGTTAATAGTAAAGTTTCAATTAACCATTCTCTTGTTATCATTGTTAAAGAAAAAATTCATAAATTCCAATGCAGAAGCTAGTTTTGTTTTTTCTGCCTTCTTTCTTTTTTTGGTGCCTTTTGTTCTTTATCTCTTTGTATTTGTACTTCTATTTCTTTTCCATTTTCAATATCATAGGTTGCATTAATTAAGATAATTTGTTTGTATTTTCCCCATTTATAAAAATAAAATTATTCCATGCATCATTGTATATCAGATGTCTTATTATGATATATTTAAAACAATTAATAAATTAATTAATAAAATATGTGATAATATTTTAATATGGTTTACAAAATTCAAAATATCTAATCACATTTTTTTAAAATTATACTTTACATTTATAAATTCAAATTAAAATAAGTACATATTTAATGTAATTATTGTAGTATATCTGATGTGAACCTCTATTAATTAATTCCTTAATTGTTGTTTTTTGGGCTAAGTTTTGAGAAAAGGATAAAAAGCTTAGAAAACAAAAGAGTTAGTTAATACTAGTATATAAAACAAAACTAAAGGAGAGAAAAGAAAATACTAAAAACATTTGTATTTGCATATTGAACCAAAGGGCACGTGTCTAATCAGAAATAAAGTTGCATGAAAACAGATACACTAACATGTGGAAGACACAATCAACCACCTTAAAACGGCAACTGTAATTGCCCGGCGGGCAAGAAAGTTTGAACTAAGTGAGACCCCCACTAACTGCAGTCCAACGATCCCGCACTCTTAAACTCCCGACCTGCTTCACACGCAACTAGGTAGCCGTAACCCCTTTTGTTTGAAAGGGGACAAACAAGGCAGGACGCGAGTGATTGGTTGATGAATAAATAATAGAAAGAAAAGGCCAGTGGCGGGTCCAACGGGAGGTGAACAGTGAACATGTCACGTCCATTGGGGCCACCATGTGATCTCTATGAAATCAAAACCTATCAAAAATACTATTCACACTTTACTAGTATTATTATTATTTAATTTATTCTATTTATTTTTCAATACTTACAAGTTACAATCTTAATAAAATGATAGTATAAAATACTACAAGTATTTTATTTGGAGGTCCCTTCATCCAGCAGTATCTTTTTTTTTTTTTTCTCTCTCTCTTTTTCTTTCTTTCATTCAAAATCGTCTCCTTTCTCACGAATAAAGAAAAAAACAAGCAAATCTTTCCCGTGAAAAGATCCCACAGGGTCCTAGGAGCCTGCAGTTCTGTGAATGAACCCTAAAGAACTATATACCTAAGCAAACAGACGAAGCTGACAGAGAGTTTGTGAGTGAGTTATAGATTGCTTTGAATTTAGATAGGCTTCTCCTGTAGAGAGACGACAACAAATTCAGACAAGAACAAATTCCGAAATTGAAAAAAATAGGTGGAAAATTTTATCACAGCCGATCATTATCGAAAACCCTACACTTTTTTGTTTTCGTTTTAAGTCAATGGATTCTGCTTCTGGAGGGGGTGCTGCACACAACCCGAATAGCATCAACGAGGGTTCATCATCAGCTACAGCTACAGCTACAGCTTCAGCTTCAGCACCGCCTCCCACGACTTCACAACAAGGAGCAGGTGAGTCGTCTTCTTCCCCAGCTCCACCGAGTCGTTACGAGTCACAAAAGCGTCGAGACTGGAACACGTTCTTGCAGTACCTGAAGAACCATAAGCCCCCATTAACACTAGCTCGTTGCAGTGGTGCACACGTGATTGAGTTCTTGAAATACCTTGACCAGTTTGGCAAAACTAAGGTGCACGTAACGGGTTGTCCTTACTTCGGACATCCAAACCCACCTGCTCCTTGCTCTTGCCCACTTAAGCAAGCGTGGGGTAGCCTCGACGCGCTGATCGGACGGTTGAGAGCTGCTTATGAGGAAAACGGCGGGCGTCCAGAATCAAACCCTTTTGGCGCAAAGGCTGTTAGGATTTATTTGAGGGAAGTGAGAGAAGGGCAGGCTAAAGCTAGAGGGATTCCTTATGAGAAGAAGAAGCGAAAAAGGCCTACTGTCGCAACTACGGCTGTGGGGGTTAATGTGTCGGTGGCTTCCAGTCAAGCTGTTGATGGTGGTGAGGGTAGCGCCGGCTTTGGTGGCGGAGACGATAGTGGTGGTGGAACTGCAGCTAATGTTGGTACTGCCACCGCTGCTGTTACTACTGCTACCACGACTAGCGTATAGTTATTTTTTTTCCTTTTTTACTATTTTTATTCTTTTTTGCTTTTAATAGCCGTTTTAAATGTGATTATGAGTTATATATATCTGGCGGTTCTCTCTGAAAATTGGATCAATAAACCATGAACCAAATTGAGTTAGAAATCTAGTCTTAATCTCTTTCGACCAGTTCTCTTTTTTCTCTGTTTGATGAGACTTTTTATCTATCTTCTCTTGTTTCTTCATTTCTTGTTATTCATGAGCATGATTAATACTATAAAAACATACATATATAAAAGTTGAACTAAAAAATAAGAAGATAAGAAGTTTTGATCTATAGTTTTTTCCCTTTTACTAATTCTTTTTTGTATGTTTTGTTTGAGTTGTTTTGATGGGCAGAATTTAGGTAAGACATGTAGTTCTGAAAATTAAAAACCATTTTTGCTTCTGTATCTATCTTCTTCTGCTTCTTCCTCAACAACGAGCAAATGGGTCACTTTGCATTTCTATCATGTCTCCAAGGAAAGTTGGCTAGTTTTGGTTATGATTATTGCTATTTGGTTTCTGTTTCTTTCCTTCTTTTGACCTGGTAATCTCCAATCAGGTGCGTACGCATTTGTGGAATTCATTACAGAGAAGAAATCTATTTTTCCTTTTTTTTTTTGGAAAAAAATCCCATCAATTTCCTTTAGTTTATTCTCCTTCCTTCCTATTGTGGCCATACACAATGTAGAAGGAATTGACCATTAAATCTTGAACAATTCATATTTATTATTTTCTTTAATTTCTTTCAGCATCTTTTTCTTGTTTTCTTTTACCATCAGTGTTAAGAATTGATTCTAGCTAAGACAAATTGCAAAGTGTTGGAGAGTGGAGACAAGAGGAGACTTGTTGGAAAGAAGGGTGACACTGAACAGAACAACAAACACTTGTTAGCCAAATCTTTTATTACTACAAGATTTCTCTATAAAACTGTGTATCTGGTCCCGGCTTTCTTGATCGGCTGGGCTTCCTCCCCCTCTTTCAAAGGGCTATAGTGATTCTGTTGTTATATATGCACACGTGCGCCTCTCTAAATTTTACATACTTTGCACTCAGTCTGAGGTGCTCCTCCTTTATATCTTCATCAAATATTTTGTTCTCAGACTTTAAGATTTTGGCGTTTTTTTTTTTTTGGATTTAAGGATATTAACTCTTTTGGATCTCATGTTTTTTCTCTCCTCACTCACATTCTCTTTCTCTCTCTGATGCCTATGCAGCATTTCTTTCCATGATAATAACAGCAAAAAGATATAGGGCTGCAAGCATCAATGAATATTAAAATAATCCTTGAATATTAAAATAATCCTTGTGATTGCTGCCCTGATTTTGTTTGGGTTACCACCACCTCAGTGTGAAAAGGACCGGTAGCCAACCCTCTTTTCCATTCCATCAATTGCTTAAGTATATTACTATACGTATACTCTCATTATTATATCTCACACCCCTGTATCCATATAATAGTCTATTTTGCTTAATAACATAGACCCACAAGTCACTCCCCAACAAAACCCCGTTTCTGATTTTCATTTGTAGAACCATCTCCAATTAGATCATTTGCTTCATTTATTGCTCTCTATATCTAATGATCCTATTTCAAGTTATTTCTAGTATTTGGTTTTTCGTTCTTGCTCATCTCTTTTTGCACTTTTTCTTTTTCTTCTTTTCATTCATGAACCATTTTAATCCCTCCAGGAAATTGCAGGAAACTTTTTATTTCTTTCCATGGCTTAAGCTTTTTTGTAGTATCAACTTGGTATAAATTTTTTTTTTTAATTTCAAGGAAAAACAAAGTCCTATTACAAGAGAAAAAAAAAAGAAATTTGATTAGAAATCAAATTTTTATGACTTTCTTAAAGTTTCTGTGACTGTTAGATCACAAAACGGAAGACAACTTGGTATAAAAATTTTCATTACTATAATATTATCTTTTCTTTCTTTATAAAAATATTAACCTTTTTCATTCTCCTTTTTTTTTTCTTAATTTATTTGTATTTGTCACCTCAAGTACTCTGTTGATTCCACAAAAAAGTCAAAACGTGAAGCTAGTAGAGCCCTTTTATCTCTAGATCTAATCATTAAATCCTTCCTCTCTCTTCTCATTCTTTTAGCATTCCCTCATCGTGGTCAGAATTGGCTAAATCATGTTACCATACCTGATGATCATTAATTCATGATATAGGAAACAAAAGGTTTTCATCTTTCCTGCTGGTTCAAAACCAAAAATATTAAAAAAAAACTAGTGATAATAAAAGAAAATCTAATTAAATCTCTTGTGGTTGATCATCTTTCTATCTACATGTTACTGCAGCAGTAAGTGGGGGCAGGAGATTTCTTAGTGAGTGAAAGTGCAAAAGGAGTAATGTCACAAGATTCATTGTAAGAAAGGGAAAAAAGCCCTTCATAGCTGCTAATTTACTTGTTTCTTTGGTCTCTGCCTAAGGGCTATTCATGGTTTCTCGTTAAGGAGCCAACGGTACTTCATTTAATTTAAGAGATCGATGTAGTAAGAAAAAAAATAAAGAAACTAAGAAAAAGACGGTGGGTGGGCCGTAGGGTTGTCCGAAGGGCACCTGCCTCGACTAGTCTTGTCTATCACCAACGGAAGGTAGTTATTGTTGACGACTGGACTGAAAGGAATTTATAATTTTAGCTCACAATTTTGCAGTCCAGAGAAGGAATCACATGCCTTGTTTTATATGAACAAAAATAAAAGGACAACATCTTAACATGTAGGACAATGCCTTAGTTTCTACCGTCTTAAAACCGTATATTTTACATTTAACTTGGTTATGATATAGTTTGACAGGCCAAATTTCAAAGTGGCCCTACGACCCCTTTCCTGCCCTCGCAGTTGCAGGCTCTATTGTTGCATTCATCTCTCTGATGATCAAACTTGGAGAGTGTCATGATCATATGATTCCTGTTAGTATTGGGATGCAGGAACAGCAGCAGATTGAAGTCTAAGGATTTCGACTCTTTTTGTACAGCAATTACAAGGTTAATTATGTTTTTTGGTCTGCAATATATATATAATCTTTGTCTTGCAGATAAAAAATCTTTGTTGAGTTCCAAATATGGTGCCATTGTCATGGTTCAATGGGGAGTTTGTAAGAGCCTAAAGCAAATATAGCGAGTAATAAAGGCTCTATCTTGGAGACAAGCTCCATTGGAACAAAGTTTTCTGGGCACTTGGTCGGAACCAAATGGATGGAACAATCTACAAAAAGTATAGCTAAATTGGTTGATGATTCATTTTCCTACCAAATTGAATTAATAATACTACTGTGAAAATTTTAAAAATAAATAAATTTAGATTAATGGGATTTGACTATCCTCTTTAAATTTCTGGTGTCAATCGATGTGGTTTAAATGATTCTTTTCATTTTCTTGTTGTACTCTACATGAGTACTCTACATGAATAAGGTTACATTTTAATTTCTTAAACATTATATTATTTGATTATTCATCTCAGGTGCTTTTATTTTCTGGCTTTTGTATTTATGTTATACTCAGAGGAGATTAACGTGCTAAATTAGATTTGTTTTCTAACTCTTTTAGAAGTTATAGTTCGTCAGAATCACATGTTTTTTTTTTCAACAAATAATTATATAGGTTTCTAAAATATGGATTTGTAAATTAAACGCTTCCAAAAATATATCTTTAAACTATGAAAAATGTATTCGGTGGTTATAATTTAATTATAATATACTAATAAATTATTTAATTTATTATATAAATGTAATAATGATTGTACCTTAAAAAAAAAAGGCTTAAAAAAACAACTTTCAATTACTGAGAGTGATCCAAAAAATAATATACTTCTAGTTGGACATATCATCTCTTGCTCCCAGCTCCCACTTATTAATAAAGAAACTAAGATAATTCTTTTATTATTATTATTATTATTATTATTATTTTGTATTTTAAATTTATGATTGAGTTTGAAATCAAAACTTTTAGTTTTAAAATCGATTTGAAAGACACTAACTTAACCGCACATTGATAATAATCTTCCCCTTTTGGTGATGATTAATTATGAAAAGAAAATAAAGCTCAACTGCTCCCACATTTCAAAAATGATTGGTGAGGTCTTTGCTTTTAGAAGAGAATTTAAATGAATTCCTTCTATAATCCTAAATCTTTTATTTGGTTTTAATTTGGTCCAAAAACTTTCAATTGTTCCATTTGAATCCCAAACTTTTTAAAATTAGTTTCATTGTGATCCTGACTCTGATAAAATTAACGGATTGTTCACATGGAATGATACCTAATTGCCTAACGGATTGTGATCCTTACTATTTCAAGAAGCGTCATGATGCCACTTCCATTGCAGTCAATTCGCACCGATAATGCCTAAATGTATAAAAAAATTTTCTCACATATTTCATTTAGATCATTGAAACTAATTTTCTTTACTGAAATTTAATAAAATACGTACAGGTCCAGACCCAAAAATATATCATAAGATGCCATAATAGCAATGATTGGAAGTTGATTCGCATCCCTAGATTATACATGTAATGAGCGGGACTAGTTCAGGAAAAATGTAATATACCAATAAATGTCAAAACATCTTTCTTTCTTAAACAAAAACATAATATGAAAATGGGATGTAACTTTCAAGAAGCACTGATACATTTTTCTTATTCAAGATTATTTTGTGCAGTGGTTAAAAATAACCCATGTCTATGTAACCTACTTATACATAATGATAATCTAAAAAAATATGACTTTGACTTACAAATTTCGAAAGACTAAAGTCAAGACAAACCATAGCCTATGTATACATAATTTCGATGCCGCAACTTGAATTATGTCATTTAAATTTTCTTCATGAAATTAAAAAGTGTCATGGATTGTCTGATTTTGATTCATAGAGTTTAGTATTTTTTTTTTTTTAAATGAAAGGAGTTTTTTTGTAGGATTGTTTTCTAATTTTCACAATGAGAAGAAGACGGGCGATGGACAAGACTTTTGCACTTAAAAAAATATAGTGTTAATATCTCAAAAGAAAATAGTTTTAAGATTCTGTTTTTCTTTTTTACAAAAAATGGGTGAGGTGTTTGGAGGGGACTTTTACACTTAAAAGGGATTCATTTACGCAATACATATCATCTCATTTAGGCAATTAGATATCATCTCATATGGATGATCCATTAATTTCAACAT